ATTGGCAGCCAAAGGCACTTACTGATAGAACTGAAGCGGATTTGTCCTGTACTTTGTCCCTATTGTGGTCTTCCCTTCCACCCACCCTTTTTTTTGTTCCTTTTTTCCTCTGTTACAGTTTAGAAAACGCTAAACCCTCCTCCCAGGCAGCCTCCGTCACGATCCCTGATCACCTCAGCATCAACCTCTCTCAACCCTCCACCCCTTCTTCTTCTTCTTCCTCCTCCACCACCACCCCCTCGCTCGCCACAGCGGGGACTTCCGACGCACCCTCCAGCCTCCCCAACCCTCTTCCGACCGCCCCTTGTGTCTCCAGTCTGCTTGGCATGAAACCCATCCCTCTCCTGGCTCTAAATGTTGTGTCTGCTGCTAAGGGTACCGGGGCTTCAGCTACCACCACCACCACCTCTACTGTGCCATGTGTAACTAACAAACTGAAAGGCGAGAAACAGAGATTCTCTCCCTACTGAGTGCATATCTTGGCACCTCCTCAAATGTTGGTTCATTTTGTTTTTCTTTGTTAACATTGATGAGAACCAAACTATTGTGAGCTTGTGACCATTTTCTTTTTACTACTTTGGGGGATAACTGGGTGGGGGTGGGGTGGGTAATTCTTGTTTAGGTTTAGGTCTTTACAGCTCAGTGCCTGTTTGAGAGTCTGATTGTTGATTGAAATCTTTATCTAGAGCCACAGTTCTTTCTCTCTCTCATTCTGTTACACTTTTTTGTAGCTTTATTCTGCCTTGCAATATATGAACAATGTGTTAGGCTCTGTGTTGATGAATAAAAGCTTCTCCGTTAATCCTTTCTTTTTTTTTTTTTTTAAACCTTTAAATAATTTAATGGTTAAGCTGTCAGCTGGCCTTCTTGGCCAGACCTGTGTCTCTAGTTATAATAAAGTTGCCACAGTAAGAACCATAGCTCACCGTGTGATGTGACGGGTGAAGGGTTGGGGACTTGTGATCTGTGCCTTGTAGGCTTGGATGGCTGTGAAGCCTACTTGGGCCTTTTTGTATCCCACATGAATTTTGTAACCCATTGTTCATATTCCCAAATAGAAGGAAGGTCCTTCAGTAGTTTCATTATTGCTGAGTCTTCATGATTGCCCAGAAGCTTTTAGTCTAGCACAGCTTTCTTTAAACTGATAATACCCTCTTTTCCTCTGGTGAGTGGTTATTTCAAAGGCATACATAGAATTTACTTCTGTACCCATAATAATGGGGAATGGTCAGTGTCAAAAGTTAGGTAACTTTTGTCTATATTTCTTTAATGGGTTCATTAAATATCCTTCTGTGATATTAGGAAGGACTAATAGATCTGAGTGTGTGAATCAACTACTAATTGGTTGGGCAAGTTTGCTTATCTTTTATTTCCGGCCTACCCTTCTCTCTCACTAGTAACACTATCACGAGTGAGGAATAATATGCTTAGATTTGAATAATAAAACTGTTCTGTATCAGGAAAGAGAAAAGAAGCCCCAAGAGAATATAAACTTTATGACATGGGTGATTAGCCGGGACTAATTGTGCTGTGCTGTGCTTTTACACAGTGGTATGCTTAGTTCCTAATGTATAACCTTCTCCTTTTTTATTGGGACTTGATCCCCGGACCTTGTACGGTAAATCCCCACCATTTGTTTTTTGTTTTGTTTTGTTTTTTAATCAAAATGAGCTACAGATCTTTTTCACAAAAGAGAAAAATAATGTGCTAGGGCTGAGGACTCCAGCTTTTAGGCAGTGGTAGGATATTTGCTAGACCCTGGGTTTGTTCTCTACCACTAAAGAACAAAAAGGAAGAGAAATGTATTTCATATAGTGAAGTCATATTTTACTCTTTCCCAGTCAACCAAGGTTCATATCTTTACTGGTAGGCAGTGGCGATTTTATATATATATATATTTTTCCCCTGATGGCCTTTTCCAACATCCTTAGAGTGAAATTGAACAGCATCAACATCATCAGAAAGACATTGCTGCTTGTGCTTATTACATTACCTTTCAGTCTCTATAGAGTTATTGTGGCTGCTTTATTCCCAATTGGCCTTACACATTTGTGTTCACCACACCCAGAGCTGGGTCTGGGTGTTAGCTGTGTCCTATGTCTTGTGGTTCAACTCTTTGTATAGTTGAAATTTACCATGCTGATAACTGTCTCCGTAGGGATTTCATTTTTAACTTTATCTTGTCTGTTGGAAGGCCTCTTTTTGAGACAGGGTTTCTGGAACTGGCTCATACTCTGTAGACCAGGCTGGCCTTGAACTTACAGACATCCACCTGCATCTGAGTGCTGGGATTAAAGGCATGTGCCACCACCACTGGACTGGAAGGCCCTTTAATCTAACAAATATCTCTGATAAAGAATTGCTGTGGGGTTGGGGATTTAGCTCAGTGGTAGAGCACTTGCCTAGCAAGCTCAAGGCCCTGGGTTCGATTCTCAGCTCCAAAAAAAAAAAAGAATTGCTGGGAAGGAATCCAGATGTTTAAGGGGCTTGACTACCATGAGTCAGATGTGTTTCTGTTCAGATTTCCCTTCTGTGCCTCATTCACTGCATCTTGCCCTTTATAAAGTCTTGCTTAGGCTTTATAGTGAATATTGGACAGTGCTTAAGCTGTTTATATGGCCACAGTGCTACCACCCTATATGGTGGGGATTTTTTTTTGTTGTTGTTGAAGATACTAGATTTAAACTAACCACTTCCTTTGAACCATTGTTTCTACTGAGTACTATCATTCAGAGTTTATTGTTTTACTTATTTGTATGAGTGTTTTATGTGTGTATACTTGTGTACTATGTTTGTGCAGGGCCCTCAGGGGCCTGAAAATGTCATATTTCATGGAACTGGTGTCGCAGACATTTGTGAACCAAATCCAGGTTCCCTGCAAGAGGAGCAGGCACTTCTACCTGTGAGCTGTCTCTTGAGTCCCTAAAGCTCATTGTTTACATTACCCTAGGGTCATCCTATTTTGAGATTGTCAAGAATCTGTGTGTGTGTGTGTGTGTATGCGCGCGTGTGCGTGCGCGCACGCGTCCGTCCATCCTTGTGCGCAGGTGCAGGTTATTGTCTTCCACCCTGTTTCAAATGGTATTCTTGATTCTTGCTAAGAGCTGCCTTTCCAGCTTCTGGGGATTCTTCTTTCTTGCTTCTCATCTGTAGGTGTGCTGGGACTACATAGAGATGCACTCGACTGTCTGCTCTGTCTATTTTAACATGGCTACGGAGGGCAGGGGCAGGTCTTTATGCTTGTATGACAAACACTGTATCCACTGAGCCATCTCCACAGCCCCTGTGTACCTGTTTTGTGTGTGTACATCATGTGAATGCATGTGGACATGTGTGCAGGTATATGGAGGTCAAAACATGTTTGTTTTCCTCGTTCTCCAACTTTTTTTTTTGAAATGGGATCCTTGACTGAACCTGTGGCCCCCTGATTGGGCTAGACTGCCTACCTAGAAAGGACCACAGAGGTGTCCTCCTGTCTAACTCCCTTGCACTGGTACTACGGGTGTCATGGGAGCTAGGTTCTCACTGCTTGGTCAGGAAACACACTTGGCCATCTCTAGCCCCTCTTTCTTCTTTTTCTTTTTGTTTTTTCGAGACGGGGTTTCTCTGTGTAGTTTTGGTTCCTGGCTGATCTTGCCCTGTAGACCAGGCTGACTCGAACTCAACAGAGATCCGCCACTCTGCTCTCCTTTTTCAAAGAATGCAATATTCCCATTCATGCTGAATTTCACCTATGAACGTACTAGGCAGGCCTGACTGTAGTTTCAGAGATCTCACATCTGTAATATTTAGGCCTATTCGGGGTAGTAAAGTAGACGGAGAAATCATTTCTGACTTTAAAGAAAACATAATCTTTAATTGAAGGATGACCTTTGTGGTTTCTGGGAAAACCCCCTCCCTCTACGATATTTGTATACTAGTGCACACAGTGCTACTCAAACACCACAAATGGATGTCATTCAGCTCTTAAAAGAACTTAAGCTTATGATATGGAACTGAGACTAAACCATTAGTTATCTTCAAAATGAAGTATTTTGCTGCCTACCTAATTTCAGTCAAGTGTACTGGATGTCTTTCCCTCTCGGTCCCAGGACCTCAGATGACCCATTTATAACAGAAGTATAAAGACACTGTAGCTAGGTAGGATTTGGAACAGTAAGAAGGCTTTGGGTTTTCAAGAGTGAGCTAAAGAACTGAAGCCTGCTGCTTGTTTTCTTGTTCATTTTTGTACTGAAATGTGAGCTTTAAAACAATAATTGAATTCTTCACTGCAGTTTCTAGAGTTGGTTCCTCCCTTTAACATCCGTTAATATTTAAAATTACTTTGTAATTCCTTCACATTAATAGAGCTACATAGGCTGTAAGCACATGATAGTATTAACTTTCCAAAGGCTCGTGTTCTCCCCAGACTTGTATTTGTGTCTGAAGGAGCTAAGGGAAACAATAAAGCAGCAGCTTGTCCTCCCAACAAGTGTTGTGACCTCACCTCCCAACAGTGGTGAGTGGTGTGTCTCTAGAAACACTTCAGTTTCCCAAGTATAAAACATGAAGAGACAGTGTCACCAGCATGACATGCTTTGTTAAACCTCTCCTGAGAATGCTTCAGGAAGCTTGGTTGTACTGGTATTACACACCCACACAACAGATCATAATACTAGTTACTTTAAGAAACCTTGAAATGCCCTGTTAGTAAACTTCTGGTATAACTAGGTAAACTGACTTACTCTTGTTTCTGTTTTACAGGCTTTCCTCGGAGACAGGTGGCATGGGGAGCAGCTAGAACAGTGCAGATTCATCCATAATCCCTTTCTGCTGTTCACCACCACCCATGATCCATCTGTGTAGTTTCTGAACAGTCAGCGATTCCAGGTTTTAAATAGTTTGTAAATTTTCAGTTTCTACACACTTTATCATCCACTCATGATTTTTTAATTAAAAGCGTTTTAATTCCTTTCTCTGTTCAGCAGTTACGCTGAGATATCCATATTTAGTTTTATAAGCTTCTCCCCTTTTTTCCATTTTTTTGGGTTTTTTTTTTTTTTTGGCTCATGAATTTTTGTTTGTCATGGAAATGTAAGAGTGGAATATTAATACATTTCAGTTTAGTTCTGTAATGTCAGGAATTTTTCAAAAAAAAAAATTAAAAGATGGACTGGAGCTTTTTCTTTGTGAATAGAAACTGGATGCCACAGTGACTTATGTGGGTGTTATTCCTGTCTTGATGTTATTTTTATACCTTTAAACCTTCACAGAGCCCTGGTGGGTTTCAATAGAATTAAGATATTTTCTTCTGTTTTACCACTCCATGTTTTTTTCTGTTATTTTGCTTTTTTTAATTGCCCTTGATCTTTCCCCCCACCATGATTTTGGGTGGCCTTTAGAAGATTTATTTGTGAAGAATGGCAATTATACTGCACTAGGATTGTAGAGCAACAGATGTGTCTATGGAGCTGGGTTAGGAAGATGTGTGTACATGTATTTTACACACATACATACACACACATGTACCTGGTGATAGTAAGTTTGGGGGTGACTGCCCCTTATTCTCTAGCTCATACTTTAATCTTATGTTCTAGTGACTGTTTACTGATAGCCTTTTCCCTGGATGTTTTGAAACCCATTTATATTCTTGTCCTGAAATAATTTAGAAAAGTTAACTTAGAAAGTTGGAGTTTGACATGTTTAGAAAAAATAGAAAGTAACCTGTCCAAATTCCTCAAACTCTTAACCGTGTATCCACTCCATTCATTCACCAAGAAAACCCTCGACAGCTGGGCCTGCATGGAGTGGTTATATTTGAGGGTTGTTCACAGGGGTTACAATATGACAGTCCCCACCCCTACCAGGCACCAGGATAACAGTAGGGACTTAAACAGCACCCCAGTTCTCCAGCTCTTCAGCCTGAGCCATCACATGCTATCAGTCTTGTAACTTGCCTCTGGGCCCTAAGCCAGGGCTCGGGCAGAAAGACAGAGGGACAAAGAAATGGGTTACATTGCCACCTGAGAAGCCTCAGAGGGGAGGACCCAGCCCCAGTTTCCCTCTCCTCAAGTGCAAAATGTGTAAACAGTGAACGGAAAATAAAAGTGCAGTCTTAGGTGGATCCTCGCCTGCCCCCCAGTGTTGAGGGGGGACAGTGCAGAGACAAGCCTGGCTTTTCTATTGCCTAGTTGCTTGCTGAACATAAGGAATGGGGTGAAGCAGGAAGGGACCAATTTCCTCTCCTCGTGGCTCTAGGGTAGAACTTGGAATCATTTGTTTCCACAGCTGCCAGTGTCCCTAGAACGTATTCGGGAATTGGTCAGGGGGTCCTTCACTCTCAAGCCTGACTTAAGGCTCAGAAAGCCCCATCTATCTGTTGATTATGTGGCGCATATATATTATTTATATAAATATTTCTCTATGTACAAGGAATAAGAGTGTCTTTCATGGAGGAAGGAAGGCTGGGGGCCGCAAGGCATCAATGCTGTTGGAGTTGTCCAGTTCAGTGCTGTCACAGTCCGAGTCCTCAGGGTTGAGGCCCTGTGAGGAAGAGCAGAAACGCAGTGAGGGGAGGGGGCTCAGCAGCTCAGCATTAACTAACACTGGAGGCTTTATACTACTGCTTATAGGTTGTTCACATCATGCTCCAAGGCACTTTGCTGACAGGAGTTCATAGATGCCTTAAAGTTGAACAATATTGGATGCTCTGGAACTGTAGGCCTCAAATTCCATTTACATGGATATCTCTTTTTCATTGCTATGGAAGAAACTGGCTTCGAACCTTGAGTGGCTTGAAGGCTAAATACTAAATGTGTCTTGCAAGCCTGTCTTCCTAACAGATTTTCAAATGACTGGGTATTTGTTCCCAGTTTATGTCAGAGTCGGTCAGCTTTGCTTCACTCACCTGCTCACCTCTAAGTAGATCCTGGTGTTGCATGGGCAAGGAGCTGGTTTCGGGGTCAGGACCCACCTCTGAAGCAGGTGGGTCCAGTGGGATTTCTGAGCCCTGGGAGCACATGTCATCAGACCTTTCATCTGGCCGCTCATCAGTGTTGGTACTGCCAACTTCTGGTGTGCCACTGGGGGAAGGCTCACTAGCTGTACCTTCCTCCACGTCTGATGGGTTCTCTGAGCTGAAGGTAGATAGTGACTGACGCATGTTCGGGCCCTGAGGCCACCTAAACGTTGAGGCATGGTTACAGCTTCTGTGGTCCTTTACAGTTCCCAAAGCAAAAGATGCCATTATCCCACCACACTTACCTCTGACTTGGGGGCAGCTCTACTTCACTATCAACCTCTCCTTCCTCCTCTTCAGATGAGATACCGCGTTTCTACAGTAGAGATGGGTGTGTGTATGTGTGTGTGTATAAACCGGTCAAAAATGGCAAGAAGTCATTAAGAATTGGGGAAGGGTACATAGTTGGGTGGGTTATAGCACTCGGACCCCCTAGGGAGATTGAGGAGAAGGGGAAAGGAGAGAGGACCCCCCCCATACTTTACCTGACTCCGAGTCACTGCAGCCCTGTACAGCAGTGCAGCTGGGGTCAAGTGCTGGGACCCAGCCCGACTTCCTCCCCGGCCTGCAGTCCCTTCCCTTCCAGTTCCCAGCAGCAGCCCCACGCCTTCACCAGGTCCTACTGGTGGAGGTGGTTCCCCTTTGGCCCCCCCAGGTGAATCTGGGCTGGTGGAACCAGGAGCTGATCCCTCACTTGGAGGAGTATCGCCCTGGGGTGGAGGAGGTGAGCCAGGATCCCGAACTCCCCCGGTGGCTCCTCGGCCTCTGGCTCCCAGTGCTGCTGACAGAAGGTCTGGGGAGGAGGACGACATCTTTCGCAGTAGAAGGTCATGGTGGAGTCCGCGGAGAGCAGGGGGGCAGGCATCCCAAGCTGGAGGGCCCACTCCCAGACCCCCTGGGCTTCCTAGTCCTCCAGGCTCGTGGGGGGGCAATGCTGCTCGAAGCCCAGGCAGGTCTCCACAGCTGCCCTTGGCACTGGCCTTTCGGTGTCGGGTCTTGCCACGACGACTCCTTCCTGGTGAGGGGGGACCCTTAGGACACCCAGGAAGCCCCACCCCACTTAGGGCTGCATCTAGTTTAGGTAGCAAAGACTCTGTCTTGAGAATATCTGGCCTGGAAGGGGAGGGAAAGTACAAGGTTGAGATGAGCGTTACAAACCGTCCCCCACTAAAGATAACACGTTGCCTCGCCAGTGTCCCTCCTGCTATGTGCAGGCCTCAGCCCTCAGAACCCCACCTTTTGCTGTGGGGTGACAGTTTCTGTGGCACATTCCTTTTCTTGATGAGCTTCTCCATGGTGTTTCCGTGTAGGAGGCCGCGGGATGGGTGTGACTTCAGGAGACCTGGGCACCTCCTTTCTAAAGCCTGCTCTCGCCTAAAAATCGGGACAGTTTGTTGGGTCTCCCAAGTTGGGTAGCTTCTTGGAAAGCAGGGATGTAGTGCTGAGGGGAGTTCGTTACCTGAGCAGTTCCCGTTCTTTGAGCTCTAGCTGCAGCATGAGGGCGTTCAGTTCCATGTACAGGTTGTTGGCTCTCTCCAGCTTCCGCTCATAGTGCTCCCTGATGTCCAGGGCGTGTCTGAAAGAACAGAGGACTTTGCTGGGTTCACCTGCTGCCCTGATGGGCCCTGCTGTTTAACGATTCCCTCCTGAGTGGGCACATACCTGAGCTCCTCCCTTCTGCGCATCACCAGCTCCTCTTCTAGGCGGTGCAGACATGTCCCTTCTGACTTGATCTTTTCAAAGTGCAGTTTTACTTCTTCCCGCCACTCTGCCTAGGGATGGAGAGACGTGGGGTGAGCACCATGTCCCTGTCACCTCACAGACCTGTGCTCGTGGGAGGTTGCCCGCGTCACTGTTAGAGTTGGAGTAAGAGGGAATGGGACACATCAAAGGCTCTGCCATGTCTAAGGGTCAGGGATTCATTGTTGTTCCGCCCACAGCACACCTGGGACTTAAAGTAGGTCTCCTGGGGTGTGGAGAGCACGTCAGCTGAGGCGATGTCCAGGTGCAGCAAGATCTGTCGGAATGAAGGACGGTTTCGTGGTTTGCTGTTCCTATAAGGAATGGAGTTGGTAAAATTTCAGGGGTGGGGAGGGATTAGAAAGGAAGTAGAGCTCCTTTCCCAGTGAGTCATGTCACCACCACCACCTGTTAACATCCAAATACTAAGGGAGCCTATTTGACCTAATACTATCTGTATGCACAAATGAAACCTTTTGATGACAGAGGGTGGTGGCATACATCTTTAATTCTGGTCTATATAGCAACTTCCAGACCAGCAAGTATGCACCTCCAAAAATAAGCCCACAAGTTTTAAATTAACCCATCAAAGGAAACATTTCGGGAATGGCACTGGCCAGTCTTCCTCGCTATCCCAAGGTCCTCTTGATGCTGAGCTAGTTCTGCTCAGTGATGATGCCGTTCTGCTTTACAGCAACCTGGCATGATAGACACTGCTCATATTTTATCAGCTAGGAAACAGGTTCAAAGAGGACACCATGATGCAACTCTTTGAATCTAATGTTTCTTGTTTGTCCATGGATCCTGTTCTCACTTGTAGTTCCCTTGGTACACATCCTGGGTCCTGGACCTTGGAGAGATTGGGGAGCTTTGGCTTGCTTTTGCAGTGGATTCCAAGCCTAGATATCTGGGTTCTTTCTAGATGCTGGCTTTCCTTCAGTTGCTAGCTCCTTGAGTTTGTCAGTCTAGTCTGCCAGCTAGGCCATCCTTACCAGCACTGGCGAAGCAGAATTTTAAAGCCATCTGGGCAGCTGGAGGGCACAGGCAGGTGGAGACTGTTGCTTCCTACACCCCAGATGATGGCTGAGGAATCTACGTCTTTGTAGGGAATTTCGCCAGTCAGTAGTTCCCATAGCACCACCCCAAAGGACCTGAGGACAAAAGAGGACATCTTTTGGGAGGGTTCCCTCCTGAGGTCCTGGTTGCTGCAGACCTTTATGACCTCTGTATAAGTCCTACAAGTACCACCCAGGTGCTTACCAGATGTCGACCTTCTCAGACACAGGCTCATTGCGTATCACCTCAGGGGCCATCCAGGCCACTGTCCCTGCAAAGGACATCTTGGTGCTCTTGTCACTCAGCTCCTTGGAAGTGCCAAAATCTGATATCTTCACCACATCGTCATAGGTGATTAGCATGCTGGTAAAGAATGCAGTCAGCCAGGATCCATACCCCTCCACACCCCCATTTCACTGCTCTCGGTGTCTTCAGGATACTGTTGGGAACACCTCATGTTGAGAGGTTCACCACAGTCCTCCGAAAGGACTGTCCGGTGGACTTAGGGTGGGACCTAAAATGCAGGGATGTGCTCACTGCCAGGGGTAGGTCACCTGCATGCACATCAGCATGCTTGCCTACTCACTTGGGAGATTTAAGGTCTCTGTGGATGATCTTGTGCAGGTGCAGGTAATTCATGCCACCAGCAATGCCCATGGACCAGTCAACCAGCAAGGAAGGGGTGACAGGACGGCCAGCCCTCAGCACCTCGTAGAGCTGGCCTTGGGCGCAGAATTCCATCAGTATGCAGTAGCAGGGAGCCTGTGTGCAGACACCCCTGAGCCAGACAGGGGTAAAGCCCTTGATTAGTTTACCATCTACCTTAACGTACCTGGGACCTACATTCCCACCCAGACCATGGGGGTCTCCTTTGAGAAAGAAGGGGAGATCTATTCCCAGGTGAGTGGAGTCCTGGGGCTTAGTATGGTGTTCCCAGTCCCTGCCCTGGACCTCACTTGAACGTGATGATGTTGGGGTGCTTCAGCTTTCGCAGATGCTTGATGTCGGTTTCCTTGAGGTCTCGAACCTTCTTCACAGCTACTTCTTCCCCGTGGAAGCGTCCCAGGAAAACAGCACCCTGAGCTCCTGAGCCTACCCACTGCAGGTCCAGGATCTCCTCAAAGGGGACTTCCCAAAGGTCTGTGGGTAGGAGGCACAGTGCCACAGGCTAGAAAGGTCTGCACTGAAGGCCCTGTGAGACACTCAAGGGTTGGGTGGATATGTCAGGGATGAGACAATGCAGGCCGGAAAGGAAATAATTGGGGTGGCCTTGTAGGAAGCTGGTTGGACCTAGGGGTGTAGCTCATTTGTAGAGCACTTGGCTAGCATGTTCTGTAAAACCTAAATTCCTGGGTTCAATTTCTCAGCACTGGGAGAAAATAATGTACTGAGGGTTCAGCTGTGCAGTAAAGCACTTGTCTGGCATGTAGTGTTTGTTTAATCCCAGCACTGGAAAAAAATGGGAAGGGAAATAAAGCTGATGAGGTGGGTAGGGGAGAAGGTAAGGGTGGTTGCTAAGTTTGGTAGTTCTGCTGAAGGAAATAGAGGCTGTTCCCACAGGGGTCTGGCCTACCTTCCTGCTGTTGCTTATGTTCTGTGGAGTAGGCTTTGCCAATCATTGTCCAGACAGGGCGCAGGCAGCCAAAGAGACCTTCAAGGAAGCCACTGCCACTCTGGCACTGCAGTCGCACCTCATCAGCACGAACTCTGGATGCTCGACTCTCCGGGGACCCAGTGGCTCCCCCTGGCCCACCGGCGTCTGGCTCATGTAGCTGCAGGACACTATTGGCGAAAGGCTCTGGGGGAGGCTCTCCACCTGGGGAGGGGCTGGGTCCTCCCCCGCCCTGCCCACCCAGAGGCACAACATCTCGAAGTACACATTGGGTAGGTGTTAGGTCCTTCTCAGGGGTGCAGTCGGAAGTGTCTGGATCCAGCTTTCGCATGGAAGCCTCACTTAGAGTAGACACAAAACCCCCAAAGGAAGGGGAGGGTGTTCGGGTCTCATGGAGGCAGGCCATGGCCTCCGGAGCCAGGTGTGCTGAGCAGCGGGCCCTGTGGGGGATTAAGGAGGGAGGGGCCATCAGCCACAGTCACTGCGAAGAGCTCACAGTACCTAGCTGGAGTTGGCCTGTGTGTCACTCTCAGTACCCTACCGGAAACCTGATTCAGCTGAGCTTCCTCTTGGTATCTATTAGTGATGCAAGCAATACTCTGGTATACAAGTAATATACTTGAGTATCATCAGGCAAAGAGAAGTAACAAACCCACTCAGGTGTTGATTAAAGAAAGTTACAGAAATGGTTCAGTAGGAAAAAGGATTAGCTGTGCAAGCCTGGAAACCTAAGATAAATCACTGAATTCCTCAGTGGAAGGAGACAACTCCCAAAAGGACCTGGCTCCCACTTTTTTAAGTATTAAACTCAAGTGCAAAGGCTACAGTAATAGAATATAAAGACCTCAGCATGTGCAAGGCCCTGGACCCAACTCATTACTGCAAAAGGGTAGGTGGCGGTGGTGGAATCAGGTTTCATCATACAAAATTTAACTACGTACTTGAATCCCTGGGGTTCATGCCCAGCATGGCAAAATCAAAAACAAAAGCCAGGGCTGGAGAGATGGCTCAGCAGTTAAAAACACGTGCTGGTCTTATAGAGGACCTACCTTTGGTTCTCAGAACCTACGCCATGGCTCACAATCATCTGAAATTCCAGTTGCAGGGGATCCAACACCCTCTAGTGGCCTCCCTGGTCATTCACTGTACACACATGGTGCACTCACATATATGCACACACTACCCCAATACAATAATTAATTAATGAAAAAAACGGTGCCTGGTGTGGTGGTGCACACCTTTATCCCAGCACTGGGGAGGCGGGGCTGGTGGGTCAGAACACCCGGTGTGTATAGTGAGACCTTGCCTTAAAGCAGCTGCAGTGGGTTCCTCTTTGTTGTGACTTGTCATTAAGCCCCGCAGCACCCATTCTTGTCAGCTGAGGTTCAGTTACAGATGTCCTGAGTCACTTTCCCCACTGCGTTTGGATACAGTGTCTCTCAATGTAGGTCTGGCTGTCCTGGAACTCTATGTAGACCAACCTGGCCTTGAACTTACAGAGATGTGCCCGCCTCTGTCTCCCTAGTGCTAAGATTAAAGCACTAAGTGCTAAGATTGGACACTACTAAAACCAGCCTGGGTGTCAGACACTTTTACCTGGATCTCAATCTCAGACACACTCCTTCATGTTGAATCATACATGGTACTAGCGGGCTTTTCCACTCAGACACTCAGATAATGTTCCTGGGCTTCCCCAGTCAGCAGTCACTGAAGCCTTCTCAGGAACAGTCAGTTCAGGACTTACATCTGGGCCCTTCTCTCTTCTCTGTGCTGATAGGTAAGTGATCATGTCCAGAACCATAACCACAGAGCTGTGCTATCCCCTCATCATAGTTGGCAAAAGGGGGTGGGGCTTATCCAATGGGGTTGGTGTGAAGCTCTGACCCTCAGCTTCATTCTCCTGAGGTCTCCCTTCATCTTCTGCTTTCTGGAGGTCAAAAGAGGATTCATCTCTTTTTTTTCCTTTTCCTTATCATCCCACCTCTAGCTCCCCAAACCAAGATTTCCAGGCAATAGAAATATGTCCCAGTTCATAGCTGTGTGCTACTTAAAGTTCACTATTAAAATGACAAGTCTAGGCCAGGCGATGGTGCACACCTTTAATCTCAGCACTTGGGAGGCAGAGGCAGGTGGATCTCTGAGTTCAAGGCCAGCCTGGTCTACAGAGCGAGTTCCAGGACAGCCAGGGCTACACAGAGAAATCCTGCCTCAAAAAAGCAAACAAATAAATGGACTGAGGATGTGACTTAGTTTGGTAGAGTGCTTGCCTATAATGCAAAAGACTCTGGACTGCATAAACCTGGGCATGGTACACAGGTCTGGAACTCTAGCACTTGGTGGGTAGAGGCATTAGATCAGACATTCAAGGTCATCCTTGGCTAAGTAGTGAACCTGAGGCTAGCCTAAGCTACATAAGCTTCTGTCTCCAAAAATACATAACCACAAATCCAGCTGGGCCTAGTGGTACATACCCTATATTCCAGCAGTTGAGAGGCAGAGGCAAGAGGATCCTGAACTTGAAGCCAACATGGGCTACACTAGACCCTACCTCAGAGAAAGAAAGGAACAAACAAAAAACAGCCATATAAACAGGTCCTGGGTCTGGTCCCTAGCTGGCACAACAAAAGCAATAGCAACAAACTCTAAATTTTACATTAGATTCAGGCAAATTATAGCTGAGTGCCAATTTCCCCAGGTATACCAAGCCAACTAGTCAGCAGTCAGGCACAGCACACTCTTCCCCGATCTTCAGACTTAACTTCAGAACTTGACAGCAAGAGTCATACTATTTTTGGGCTGGAGAGATGGCTCAGTGGTTAAGAGCACTGACTGCTCTTCCAGAGGACCCAGGTTCAATTCCCAGCACCCACATGACAGCTCACAGCCGTCTGTAACTTCTGTTCCATGGGATCTGATGCCCTCATACAGACATACCTGCGGGCAAGACACCAATGTACATAAAATAAAAAATGTACAGTGTGTGTGTTCTGGATTTAAAAAAAAGAAAGGGTCATACTATTCTCCCAGCCCCATGTTTTGTTGGGTATCAAAGGATAAGATAGGGTGTTTCCTGATAATGATCCCTCTGAGGCAAGTCCTTCTTCAGCCCTTGAAGTCATCTGAGAATGAACTACAGTGTGTAGGGGGATGCTGTGGAGGTTTATGCTCAGAGCATGATGTAGAAATAAAAGACATTTGGGAAACTGACAATCTCAGCTCGCTTAATACCATTTGCAGCCCTTTTTCTGGAAGACTCTCACTGGGTATGGGATAGGTTCAGGATCTGCATAGGTAACAAGCACTTCCGTTTATCCGTGACTAGCACATCTGAAAATCCTACCTACCAGCCTGGGCTCAGGGGTTAAGAGTTGCTAGTTGCTCAGGCCGGGCGTTGGTGGCGCACGCCTTTAATCCCAGCACTCGGGAGGCAGAGCCAGGCGGATCTCTGTGAGTTCGAGGCCAGCCTGGGCTACCAAGTGAGCTCCAGGAAAGGCGCAAAGCTACACAGAGAAACCCTGTCTCGAAAAACCAAAAAAAAAAAAAAAAAAAGAGTTGCTAGTTGCTCATGCAGACGATCTGGGTTCAATTCCCACATCCACATGGTGGCTCACAACTATCTGTAACCCTAGTTCCAGGGAATCCAACAGGCACCCACATAGTGCACAGACATGCATATAGGTAAAACAGTCATACTCATGAAGTACAATAAATAAAAAAAATTAAAAAATTAAATATTACACACCATCATTCTGTTTTCTCTAGTCCTGCCACTGCCTTAGCTGAGGCCTCATTAGCTGTCACAACCAGGCCTAGGACAAACGCCTCTTAAGTTCTCTTAATTTTCCATTCAGCTTCTGAAAGATCCAAAACATAAAACTCACCAGCCCTGTTTGCTTCAGATCCTTTGTGGTTCCCTTAAGTTGACAGCTAAGCCACCCTGAGTACCGAGCTCTATCAAGGTTCTGAATTAGGATGTCCAAAGACAATGCGAGCCTTTCCAAAGGTTATTCTGTATGTCAGCCTTTGGTATGAATGGACTGCTGCCATGAACCCTGAATACAATGTAACCCTGTCAGGAAGGAGCACAGCAAGGAAGAGGCCGAGTCCAGTCTCCAACAGCACATAAGCTGGGCATAACAACACACACCGGTAGTCCTAGATGGAATGGAGAGAAGTTCAGGGTCATCTCTGGCTTCATAGTGAGTTTCAGGCTAGCTTGGGCTACAGAGTGAAACTGTCTTAAAATAAACCAACAGCTTGGGCATGGTGGCATACTCCTTTAATGCCAGCACTTGGGAGGCAGGGGTGGGCAGTTATCTGTGATTTTGAAGCCAGCCTGGTCTACAACTGAGTTCCAGGGCAGCTTGGACTGTTACACAGAGAAACCTTCTGTCTGGAAAAACAAAACCCAAAACAAAAGCAAACAAACAAAAAATCCATAAACTATAGGGATATTGTGATTATTAGCATAAGACCAGCACGATACTGGATATGTCAACATGCAGTCCTGGGGTACGGAGGGCTCACCACACCACTCTCTCCTTCCCTCTAGACCTCTTTTACTGAGACTACAAATGCAGCCAACGGTTGCTGGCGAGGGGAAGGACATTTTCTTTGACGGTACAGCCACTGATAAGGTGCCCACGCTACTGTAAATTAACCCGAATTCAGGCTCCTATTAGCAAACCTAATGAAACTCTGTGGGTCACAAAAAAATGTGACAATGGGTATTGGTTGGGGAGGGGATAAGTAGGATGTGGGGGAAAATGTGACCAGGGTTATGGGGAATATGAGTGATCAAATACATTATATACACATATTGAAATGTCATAATGAAACCCATTATTATGTATAATTAATATATGCCAAGGGGCTGGAGAGATGGCTGGGGTTAAGAGTGCTTTCTGTTGGTGCGGATGATTGGCGTTCGGTTCCCAGCATCCACATGGTGGCTCACAACCCCTTGTCACTCCAGTTCCAGGGATCCAAGGCCCTGCACACGCGAAGTGCCATAAGCTCATGCAGGCTCCCACATACACATTTAAAAATATGAAATTAAGAAACTAAAAATTATACAAATGCAGTTGGCATTATTAGCCCTACAAAAGCGCAGTCACAGATGCATTCACCTATCGGTGGCGCCACGGCCACCCAGGTTACCCCTAGGTGTGCTGTTTATGCCGTCTTGTCTTCCCAGACTCACTTCCCGGAAGTACCAACCCTGTCTGGTTAATGCCCTTCTAAGTGGACAGGCCCTGGGCTTCCAGGTGGCTCGGAGCCACCTGAGTTGGAAACACTGCTCTACCCACCCAGGGCCGCACATGCCCCGTGCATCTCTCAGTTCCCTGAATCCTCAGAACAGCCTAGCAAATAAGGAAGGCATTATTGGTCCTCTTATGGTCTAGAGAAAACCGAGGTCAAGAAATCAGGAACCACAGCCTCTGAATTGCCAACATATCCCACGAAATCTGCGGCTTCGAGAGCGAAGGTGTCTATGATAACGCAAATTACAAACACAGACCAGCCTGCCAACGCACAGGAGAATTTCCTGCAAACGACCCCAAGGCTTCCGCCTCCCTCACCGCGGCCTCCAGGCTGGGGCTCTCGCATGCTCTCGGCCCACCTGCTGGACCGCCCGGCCACCACGGCCGACGGCCGCAGGCGGAGTGGAAGGGGTTACGGCCACAGCTCCCCCTCCCCTGCCGACCTCCTTCCCGACAGTCACGTGGTGCGGGGCTGGGGGCGCGGCTGTGGGAGGGGTCCAGGAGGGGAGAAGAGAGCAGAGCCGGCGGGGGGGAGGGCTGGGCGCTGCGGCGTAACCATGACGACTGGGCCCGTGAAGTCACCGGGACAAGATTAGCCTAGGGTCACGTGAACGCGAGGCGGGGGCGGGGCTCCACCGGCGCCCGCCTCTGACCTGGGCGGGCTCAGGAGTGGAGGCTCTGCCCGCAGGCAGGTGCGGACCCCGCAGAGGGTCCCAACCGGGTCCCCTGAGGCCCACCTTCCTCCGACCCCCGCATGCCAGATACTTGGGCTGGGCATCTGGTGGAGGGAGAGGGAGCGGGAGGGAGGACTCGCAGGGTTGCCTGGGGTGCGGGTACCACACAGAAGTTCAGAAATGGAGATGGAGACTGGGTGCAGAGACTGGACAACCAGCGCCAAACCTGGGGGATGGCCTGAAAAGATGGTTCTGAAAAACAGAGAACCCTGGGGAGACGAAGAACACAGACCACTTTTCCCTTTCCTAGTTTGTTTCCTATCTAGAAGCTGAGTTTTAGGTATCAAACCACACACCATCAGGTTTTTAAAATGGTTTTGGCATCAGCCGGCCTGCAAACCAGGTTCAGTCATCCTCAGAACCAGTCTGCAGTTCTTCCTCCCTGGGAAAACACCGGCAGCCCCAGAGGGCCCTGTGGTATCCAGGGCCAGCAGCTGGGGAGAGCCGAGAAGCCATTCCACCTGCTCGCCTCTTAGGGAGCAGCTGAGAAAGCAGGGGATGAGACCCAGGGAAAGGTAGGGCATTTAGCCATGCTCTGGGTACCATACCACCCCTCAGGCTAATGACAGCTCTTCTCCACTGACCTGAGAGAAGACGGGGAGAGCTGAGGGTCCCCAGGGAGAGTCCTCTTTCCCGGCAAATGTCCCCCTTTCTGCGTCCTTTATTCCCGCACCAGCTGTGTCTCAAGGTCCCCCCAGCTGGGTCTTGGCGCCGGAGCTTTGGGGGTGGCAGACTAGAAGCCCCGGGCCCAGACATTCGGTCACCCTGGGGGGGGGACCTGTCTCCCTGGTCATCAATTATGCAGTGCCTGGGGGGCACAGAGGAGGGGTTTCTGTCAGTCACTGTAAACCACAGGACCAAAGGTGGACTGTGCATGTGTTCAGTTCATTCAGGGCTCCACAGGAAGGCTATCGAGTTGCGACCTGGAAGTCGCCTTCACCGATTCCTGATTCCTCCTAGGCTTTCCTGCCTGAGGAGACTGCAGGGCTGTGGCAGGTGAACTCTGAGTTCTTTCTAGCTCTCTCCTGCTCTAACAGCAGAATCCAATGGCTTGTCTGGTGGCCAGTCCTGGAGATTCTGCTCAGAGGTGTGGCCATCTGTCTGCCTTGAGTTCTCACACTGAACTCTCTTCCTGCCTGACCCTCATCTTCCTCTCAAGCTGAGAGGTTCCACTTTTGAGCAGAGGAGTGCAGAGGGAAGAGTGACCATGACTTGGGAATCCTGGTTCCCTGCCTCGCAGGTTTGAGACCCTGAAGGATGGGTGTTTTCGATGGAATCCTGGTTCCCTGCCTCGCAGGCTCTGAGACCCTGAAGGATGGATGTTTTCGCTGGAGTGCGCTGTGCCTCTGGCCTCGGCCTACAGTTTACTGTTCCTTTTGACAGGACCCACGGCCCCTACCTCAGAGTCCTTCCAAGATGGAAAGGATTCCCACTCTTTTAGGGTCCTTGAGAAGGGAGATGCCTTTTGAGAACTGGGGGATCACAGGCCCTCAGGTTCTTGCCAGTCAGGCCCTGAGACCCCCTTTTATCATCTTTTTTGCTGGTAAGGTAGGAAGTGAAGGGTCTGGGTTCAGTGCTCTGTAGGGAAAGATTCACTGTAACAGCCTTGCCCTGGGCCCTTGAAGGTTGAGTCTCACAGAGACTCCTACCTGGCCTTAAGGGCTGAGGAGGGGTAGGAAGAGGAGGCAGGGGACACTGAGCCATGCCTACTGCTTCCCTGCCTCTGCTGTCTTCCCACCCAGCTAAACACCAGGTCTGTCTTTGTGGATTCCAGGGAGGCCAGCTCTCCTTTCCAACCAGAAAAAACGTAAGACTTGGTCTCGGATCTTCTGCTACCCCAGGACCAAGGATGATTCCAGGTTTCAGTGGCCACATGACAGTGGGCGTTCTGGAGGCCCCAGACCTGCTGTCTTGCCTCTGCAAACATCAGGGGAGGCCCGGAGCCCTGCACCTCATCCTTATCCCTAGCTGGTTCCTGCTGGGGTCTGCTCAGCTAACAGAGATCTCTCTCCTGATCGGCCTTGCTCAGGAGATCGCAGGGGCAGGAGCAGCATCGCATGGGCCATAGGGTCTCCCCACAGAGAGTCAGGCCTGAAAGAAGCTGCATGTAGTGAATACAGCACTGAATTTGCATTTTAAAAATATCTGAAAGGAACAATGTGAGCTGTAAACTCAGAGGCCAAGACCAACCTAAGCTACACAGGGAGACCCTGTCTTAAAAAGGTGACAGGTGAAAGTATGGATATTTCAACTTTTTTCTTTTTTAAATAAGGCAAGGTCTCATATAGCCCAAGCTGGACTTGAATTCCTGTCTCTCCCAAGTGCTGGGATTATAGGCATGCATCAGCACACATAGTATATCACTCTTCTTTTGGCTTATCTATATTACTTCAGTAATAATTTTGAGTTTCCTTAATATAAAATGTGATGGTTTTGTTTTTTACATGATTTTTTTAATTGCAAAAAATAAAACTTGTGTAATACCCATCCATTGCTGTCCCCGGCCGAGGCATGGGGGACTCACAGGCCTCAGGACCAGCAGAGGTTGGGATGCCATCTCTGCTTCTGATCGACTGGGTGACCTACAGTATGAGATCTGCTAACAAAGCTGCTTCTGTATCTAAGGGGCAGTGGACCCATGTCAGTCTTACATGGTGTGTGGGTAAGACACAGGCCAGTGGGGCAGGCCTGGCTTCCAGTCCTAGGTCTAGTCACATGATGACTATTTTTTTTGTTGTTGTTGTTGTTGTTTTCTGAGAGAGATAGGCTCTCACCATGTAGCCCTGGCTAGCCTGGAGCTCGCTGTGTAGACCAGGCTATTCATAAACTTAGAGATCTGCCAACCTCTGCATCCTGAGTCCTAGGATTAACGGTGTTTGCGTTCATGCTGTACTTGGCCTCAAACTCTCAATCTTCCTTGCACTATTGATTATTTAGCTCATTGATTACTGAAATGTGCCACCAAGACTGGCCAACTAGTCTTGAATACCTAACTCATTTCAGTCTCCTTATACCTAAAGCTGAGATGATGACAAAGTAACTTAATGATGTTATATGAATTACTGAGGTAACCAAAAGTTCTTGGCCCAGTACCTGGTACACAGGATGCTCTCTATAAATAGCAGTCATGATGTTTCACACAAAGTACCAAGAAAAATTTTTCTTATGTCACCCAGACTAGCCTTGAACTTGCTATGTAGTCAAATATGACTATGAACTCCTAATACTCCTGCCTCTGCTACCCCAGTGTAAGATAAGTGAAGTGAACCACCACATCAAGCTTTATACAGCGATCGGCATCAAACCCAGGGCTCTGCTCATGGCTTCTTGCAAGCATGTTTGTTAGGCACTATACCAACCGAGCCACACCCTCAGACACAAAGTTTTTTCTTTTTAGTTTTTTGAGACAGACTCTATATGTAGCCTTCGCTGCCCTGAAACTTGCTATGTAGACCAGGCTGGTTTTGAACTGACAAAGATCCACTTGTCTCCACTGTGCTGAGATTAAAGGCATGCACCAGCCACCATACTTGCTTCCTTTACCTCCTCAAAATGAGAGGCAATACTGAGACACAGGAAGGGAGGTGGAGAAAAGGAACTGAAAAAAAAAAAAAATAGCAGAAAAATGCAGCCTGCCAGGCCTCCTGGTACAGGCCTCAAAGGTCCAGCTATTTAAGAGGTCTAGGCAGGAGGATTTAAGGTTCAAGCCCTGCCTGGACAACTTAGTGGTAGGTACTGTGTCTCAAAATAAAATTTGTAAAAAAAGAAGTTGAAGCTGGGCAGTGGTGGCGCACACCTTTAATCCCAGCACTTGGGAGGCAGAGGCAGGCGGATCTCTGTGAATTCCAGGCCAGCCTGGGCTACAGAGTGAGTTCCAGGAAAGGTGCAAAGCTACACAGAGAAACCCTGTCTCGAAAAACCAAAAAAATAAATAAAGTAAAATAAATTAAAAAAAAAAGTTGATGATGTAGTTTGGTGGTAGAGAGCTTGCCCAGAATGTGTAAGGCCCTGGGATCAATTCCTAATACCATAAATAAATAAAATGAAGGGCAGGGGTTCTTCCCTGGAGCTCCTCAGAACAGTGTTGCCATTCTCCTAACGCACACATGACCAGGCTTTCTGGGGGCAAGTGGACAGACTCTCCTAAACCCAGCACGTCCTCTGCTGGCATCCTTTCAACACATTACTTGCACCCATTCAAGGACTCCCAGAAAAGCTGCACCCCAATTCTCTTACTCTTTAGGCATGGACAAGAAAGAGGCAGAAGTGGATGCTAGAATTTGGGGTCCTCTCTCACCACTCCTCCTCCTCCTCCCGAACCTCAGAGCAGTAACTGCCACTTAGAGGGTTTTCGCTACCGTGAAGACGTCTAGGAAATCCTGACCCACACCTTCCACCTCTGCCCACCAATGATGGGGGATTTCATGAGTGTTGGACCTTGGGGTCTTCCTGAAGCCAACAGTTGGCTGGGGCTTAGCTTGGGGCCCAGATCCATTCTCCTCCTTAAATGTGAGACAAGAGGGGGCAGGGCTCTTGAACCTGGAAACTTCAGTGTCTGGACGGCAAGACCCAGAGGGCACTTGGGCTCTTTCTTTCCCAAATGCTTGCTCCTGGTGAGCTTGGGTGACCCTTTGGCTGGAAACCAAAGCTTCCAGAACCATGGAGGCAACCCGGAGGATTGGAAGAGACACCCACTGTGGGTGCAGGGCCTGTGGTGTGTGAGACCTCATGTGCATGCTCT